AAAACGGCAATGTACATGCTAAAATATAACAGGTCAACGGATTACGTCAAACCACACCTGACACAGGACGCCATTGTGCCTTCTAGGAGTCAGTTCTGAGGGTCCTCTTTTAAAATGCAACCGAAAATGGTAGCCTGGCCGGCGTGGCTCAGTGGTTGAGCGTCAACCTATGAACCAGGAGGTCACGGGTTCGGTTCCTGGTCAGGGCACAGGCCTGGGGTGACGGGCTCCATCCCCAGTGGGGGGCGTGCAGAGGGCAGCCGATCAATGATTCTCTCTCATCATTGATGTTTCTCTCTCTCTCTCCCTCTCCTTTCCTCTCTAAAAATCAATAAAAACATAGTTTAAAAAATTAAACTCAACCTGTAAAGGACACCTCCAGTGTTGAAAACAAAACAATAAAAAGGGACAGATGTGACCTGCTCATTTCTTAATTTACTGGCTCAAATGTGTAAAATCAGACACTGAATGATGGTGTGCAGCTGGTCTTTGCCAATTGCTTAGCCCGTGATGGGACTGTAGCTCCACAGCCCACAGGAAAGTTTGGTTCTTTCATTTGAAATCCTGTTAATCAACTTGATATCAAATAAGCTTATTTCACGGGGAATTCTTTTCAACTCTTGTGGAAAGAGATTTTTGAATGCTATTTTCATTAAGAGTAAAACAAAAGCAAGTATACACATGACCAATCACATTAAAACAATGTGGTATCCCTGAGCACAAAGAAGACAGCCAAATCCCTAAAACATGGTCTTCATCTATTCTATTCAATCCACGGCCGCAGGTTCCTGTTACAAGTTCGCTATGTGCCGGAGAGACGCTGAAGGTGTTCTCAGTGAAATGAAAGGAAGAAAAGTACCCGACTCACCTGTAAAACAAACCACTAGCGAACATGGAGAGCTGAGGTCCTACGATGGCAACCACGGATGGCGTGATCAGATTGGAAGCGGAGAACACGCCATAAATAATCGCCATGCTGTACACATAACGCACAAAAACAAAACCACGTCACGCTGTCTTAAAAGTCCACTTTTCAAGTTTACTTAGTCTACAGACGTTTTGCAATCAACATTCCCATTCGATAGGCGGCGTGTACAATTATATCCTTAAACTGAACGCCATGTTAAAGTTTTCACGTGCACAAAATACTGAAGTCTCATCCGATGTTCCTTTGAGGAAGTGTGCCCTGGACGATATGGTTTTCCATGTCCTGGTAAATTATAACAACAGCGAACACGTCACATGGAACAGGCACTAGGCCAAGGACCTTCTACACGTTTTTGCTCTTAATCCTAACAGCTCTGGGAAGAAGGTATTGTTAACGCCCTCATTTTACAGAGAAGAAAACTGAAACACAGAAGGGCTAAGTGACCTGTCCAGCGTCCACCTGGGCGCCTGGTGACCGGGGGAGCCCAGATCCCGTACCTGGTCATGTGACTCCCGCGGCCCCAGTCAACCAGTCTGCTCTGCAGACTCAGCCTACAACTCCTGACAAGTGCGTGTGATCTCACTGCTATAAATAACAGGCCGAGTCCTTAAGCCAGAGTCCATGTAGCTCAACCTAATGGTCTCATTGAACATTGTTCAGCTACTAGAGACCCAGCCTTGGGACAAAGTGTGACTAAAACCATTTCAAAAGCCCTGAATTTATTTACTACTTATAAACCCATAGTAAATTATCCTTTGGCTTTTATGAATCTCTCAACTATCAAATGTCCTTTCCCTTGTTCTGTAGAATACGCATAAATACAAAGCACTACAAAATGTTATGGGAATCCTTTAGAAAAAAATGGGCATAAATATCCCTTTACTCTCATATATCATATACAAGGTCAGGCTTAGGATAGGTGATAACCAAATAAGACGGGGTGGGGGTGGGGCGAGATGCCCTCAAGACGGGTATTGGCCACAACCTGATACCTAAGGATGGAGAAATGAGGAAACCTGTCTGTGTGTGGCTACATGCGCAGGTTACGTTCCCAGCTCCAGGCACAGTGGACTGGGGACTTATGCAGGTCTTTCCACTTATTTTCACCGAGTGCAAAACTGGGCCTCAACACCTTCATAAAAACCTAACAGCTCCTGATGACAGCCCATGCATCCTCACGAAATTGCAAAAGCAGGAAGACCAAGTGTTTCAAGAGTCCTATAAAACAGCCGCTGCTGTAAGACGGGGAAGATGTAAGATGACAAGACTGGAGTGCCCATTAAATGCCAGGTCCTGCGCCAAGCGCTTCGCAGGCGTTGGCTGAGCCAGGAAACCCGGCTCCGCCAAGCAACTTGCTTAAGACAATGCAGCAATTCAGCCAGGAAGCCAGGAGTTCAAACCTGGTGTCTAATTCTACAGGGAACCTAAACTCATCACCTCTGTTCAAGGATGTTCTCCCAAAAGTCTAGATACAGGGAAGAAAAACGCAGTCACTACTAACTAACTCACGGTACTTAGCGCCCGTGGTTTTGATGTGGATTTAAGCAGCCTCCCCGCCCCCCGGGACGTGTGACGTAAAGCCAATGGCACAGAACCATACCTGGTGTAGCCACTGCCGTGGAAGTCGGTGCTGTTTAAACTCCTGATGACAGTTTGCTGTGTGGAAGACAAAACCAGTGAACAAAACGAACGTTTTTGCAACCCCTCTCTCCCCTGGAAAGCCTCCGAGTACTGGGAATAAAGTAAAAATGGGAGATGCTCAACACTGAGCACTGAAAGTGACTGAGAGAAGAAAAAGGATTACAGAACAGCAGATAAGCCAACGGCAGGGAAGCGCGCGGGGCGGGGGAGGGGCCCTGCGGACACCATGCCTGAACTCTCCACGTACAATGCAGACCTTAACACAGACAAGAAGTACAATAAACAGGTCAACAGGCACACCCACGTCAAATCAGAGAAACCAACGGCCATGCTGCACATCCCCATATGTCCGGGAGAAATGTCTGATGCATGAAACCAATCCTAATCGTTAAGAAACAACGAGGAAGGCTGAGAACATGAAAGGCGCGGTTTCAGCGCGCTCTTAGCTGCGATTAACGCGTACCGTCATTTCTAGGAGGCACTTCAAAGGAGGGACCGCAGACCCCAACTCACCGCCACATTTCCACAAGTTTGAAAGGCGGTGAACATAAACATAAAGGCAACTCCTAAAACGACGATGTTGAAAAGCTTTTTAGATTCCGGGGACATTTTGGCTCCACCCTGCCGGAGGTCCGCCGCGGCAGCGGCCCAGGGCAGTCAGCTGTCCTCGGGGCGAACCCACTGCCACGCCTGGGGGACGAAGAGGCGGTGAGAGGAGGCAGGTCCGGAGCAAGGCAGCCAGGCGGTCCCCTTCCAGTTCGCGCATCCGAGTCCCGGGCGTAGGGTGAAGCTCTCCCCACGGGCACCGTTAGGACATTCCTAGGGCGCGACGCGAGGAGGGAAGAGCCCAACACCCGGCGAAGCGCCAAGAAGGCTGTCGCCCCGGGTGGAGGGGCCCGCCGGGGGATTAGGAGCCAAGGAGAGCAGCAGAGCCGGCTCGGCCCCGCCCGCCCGCTGGGCCACAAGACTCAGTGGAGGTCAGGCGACCCGGTCACCTGACCGCAGC